AAAACAAATTTAGTCCATACCATATGGCATCAACTAACCAGCCATACATTCCTAGGCCTGAAACTAACACCTTCATAGCCTCAAGTTTTGCAGTTATGGTTTCTCATCCTTGGAGTTTATGCTCTTCATAGGAAGAACATTTTGCACCTGCGGTAATAATTATTCAAGGCTAAGCAACTTAGCTTTTTTTTTGCCTCTCACGGACATTTCAGTTCAGCCTGCTATCAAGCTTACTCATTAATGTCCGGGAGCAGTGAACCAGTGTCTTCAGGAAATAGTTGGAGAGGTTCGACTGCATTTCTTTCCTGGACATGGTGATGACTGTGAGTTGCTGCTTCTGACAGGTTAGAGTTGAGGTTCACAGACCATGCAAAGGAATTCCCAGTCTGTTCAACTAGCGAAGGTGCTGTGTACTCTGCTGGAAACCAGCCCCTCAATCCATTTGATCTTCTCATGTAAGTGTCCGCGGCAGATGAAGAGGAATTGGTTGGTGTCTGCTGCATCCTTCGTAAGTTGGAATAAACTGGATCATTGCTTCCTTGATAACCCAAACCAAATGGAGATTCAGTAGCAGTTTGAACACGCATCCTACAAGGAAAAGGTGCATGTAAGATATTTAAGGCGCAGTGTAAAATAGGCAAGGCTAAGAAAAATGAAGGACAATGAACACAATGCAGGTTCAGAGTGACTTGGGATATTTTAATAATATGATGTATCCCTCATGAGCCATGACATCATTCCAGCATAACCAAGCCTGGCCCATCGCTTTTTCTCAGGTTTATTTCAAATAATAAATGTTATCTATGAAGCTAAAAGCACATACCATTACTCTCATATTTATAAAAGCGTTCATATTAGATGGGGTTAGCTGACCTTGGTCAAGATCCGCATTGTCAGTCTCAAGTACGGATAATGAGCGTTGAGTTTATCAAAAGCTTACCCACGCTCAACGATTCGAGGAACAAATGGTTCATTTGGCATAGCATGAAAATCAAGCCCAGCACTCAAGGTTGCAGATCTAACTGAAGCCCAATTAGCACCACTGGTATGGTGACCCCTTGAAAAAGAATTGATACAGGTATCACATATGAAAGGATCACATCTCCAATTAACCCGGGAAGTAAATACCCCACTGTGTACAGGAGGGCCACTCAATTGATGGCTGGTATTAGGATTACCAGAAAAGACGGCATAGGGGTCAATGAAATTCCCATCTGCATCTTCAATATGTGGTTCTAAGTCTGTTGTTAAAACAAGTTTTCTATTAACTGGTTATTTAAATTTAAGGTGGGAGCAGAAGAAAATGAACTTACAGCCAGGTGATGGTAACCTTGTTTCCCTGCAAGTTTCAAAACATCCACATGTAAAACAAAGACCAAAAAAGACACAAACCATAACATCTTTAGTAATTATTATCTCCAGTCTCAATAAACTGCCGGAAAATAGAGGTGAATTTCATGATTCTTGAAAACCTAGGACAATTAAACTTTCTGCATACACTATTGGTTTCCTTTCAATTTTTTTATTTTTTATTTTTCATTTAAAGATGAAAAAAAAAATTGAACACAGAAATCATCTCTCTTTATGGTACTATACTTTGGACCCAAACCTCTAGAATACAATCAGAATCTAATCAATCTGATTATTTCTGTTTTCAGATAACAGCAAGTTTATGCAACAAATATGGTATTTCGGCCAGATGTTAAAATCACTTAAAAACGCATTACATTTACATTGAATTTATTTATCTGGGTTCATTTTTCCATAAGTTTGGGATATA